TTTCCCTGTGTTACATCTGTGCAAAATAGGGCCGGGTTAAGGCCAACTGATGCTCTAAGCACAGCCCAACGATGGTGCCCCTCAGTCCTTCCATCGCTTAACTGACAAGACATTAAGACTCAATAAGAGCTGAAAGTGAAATAAGAGATTCAAAATGCAGGGGTTTTTTTCTAGGCCAGAGCCCACAACTACATTAAATACAAACTTAAAAAAAACATTTAACACTAAATAGCAGTAAGCAATATAAGTAAAAAAAAAAACCAACAACCCTCTCTGGTGCCCCTCTTCCCTTGGTGCCCTAAGCACGTGCTTATTTTTCTTAATGGTTAATCGAGGGTTGGTGTGAAACCACAGCAATCACAATTGCACCCCAATCCAGACCCCCTCCCCCTGCTGAGCCACACTATAAAGCCACAGCATGGCTCAGATGGAAATGAGGAAAACATTTTTAAAAGCCAGGGAGAAGATGTAGAGCTTATTGGGACATTATATGGATGCTCACATCTAATTGGGCGGGTGGGGGGTAATGTTTCATGTGGGCAAAAATCCCTGCATTGAAGCAGTCTTTGGTTTTGAACTGGGCCTGTGTTTTTAAGGTTAAGTTTTGAGCAACTAGCTTCTTTTTAGTCTAGCACAGTTTAAAAAGTAACTATGGTTGCGGTCACACGGAGCATTAGCCATGCTACAGAGACGGAAGATAGGTGGATTTTCCGGGCGCGATCACAGCGCCACATCTGGGAAGCGTAGAGCTCCCGTGGTGAACCTGAGGCGTCCCGCTGAAGATGCGGGGTAAAAAACTAGTATCTCCGAAGTACTAGTTTCCGGAAACCGCGGGGCAAGGGTGGGCGCCTGATCGCGTTTCCGGTGGTAGGTCGTGGCATCCGGCGCCCGCCCATGTCCCGTCGCTAAAAGGTTTTTTCCCCCAAGTCTCCACGGGATGCGCACAAGCACCCAACGGCGCATGTGCACACTTCAGCCCCCTCCTCTTTTCCGTACCCCCCCCCCACTCCTGGCTCAGCCTGCTCAAGAGGAACTCTCTGCACCGGGCGGCAGAGGGAAAGGTGCAGGGGGGGGCGTGGCGGGAGGGCGGCCCGGCTGAAGCTCCTCCTGGAGGGGACTGGACGGAGGTCACAGTTTGCATTCCTCTGCAGCCCTGGAAGGGGTTAAACCCGCAGAACCTTTTGCTAGAGAGGCCGCTTCTTTGCCGCACCGCAGGATTGTTCTGTGATCGGCACCTCCCCCCTAACCACGGGACCTCTACGGGACCTCTACGGGACGTCTGATTGCGCAGCCGCACGTTATTTTGCTTCGGGGCAAACAGCCACGCTTCCCCCCCCACATTTTCCTGCCCGTGTGACCGGGGCCTATGTAGACTTGAAGCCCAACCAGATGAGACACTACAAAATGCCTGAGCAGATCTTTCTTAAGTACAAGCTGCACAGTGCCCTGTTTCAGATCACAACCCCTACCAAGAGGGAAAAGAAAAGCTTAACTCTTCTCCAACTTGGCCACTGACCCCACACCAAGCAGCTATTAGTACTGTTTTTTGTTTTGTTTTAAAAAGAAGGCTCCCACCTTTTTTCCTTCCAGGGCTAATAAAAGCACATGTGTGAGGAAAAACAATCCATTTCGACTGGACAAACTATACACAACATAAGAGTTCAACCATGCTTCCCTCATGTGGCTCCAACCCAGATTAGGGCCACATGTACCTCCTATTTCTGGGAAGTCCCAGATACAGTTTTCATAGTATGTTCTTTAACTATTCCCTTCCAACCAAGCTGTTTTTCAGAAGACACCAGTAAATTATTTTAGGTAAGATATAGGGTTGCCAGGTCTGGGTTGGAAAATACCTGGAGACTTTGGGGGTGGATCCAGGAGAGGGTGGGGTTTGGGGAGGGGAGAGGCCTCGGCATGGTCCAATGCCATAGAGTCTACCCTTCAAAGCAGCCATTTTCTCCAGGGGAACTGATCTCTGTCAGCTGGAGATCAGTTGTAAAAGCGGGAGATCCCCAGGCCCCACCTGGAGGCTGGCAACCCTAGGTAAGAAATACATTCTTCTTTATAAGGTTAATGTCTACATTCCCTGATGCATTTTGCCCACTGAGGTGATCTGCTCTTGTGCTACTCCCACCCCCAAGTCCAACTCAAAATTCCTGTGCCTGACCTCTTCTTCCCTCCACCATTTCCTTTTCCAGTTCCCATTCTTTTCCAACCTGAGGGAGCAGGCCTGTTGACCTTAGAGACTCATGACTTTCATGGGGTCATGTCTCTCAGTTTAGAAAATTCCACCCACACACATTGAGAAATACTGTACTAAAACAAGAAATCAGCCAAACATTACAAATAACTGGGGTGAAGAGAAACCACAAGAGCTAGGTTAAAACTACAAATTAATATACAGAATTAGATAGGTTGCAGTTTTGACACAGAATTTAACTGGGTGACTTTGGGCCAGTACCACTCTCTCAGCCTAACCCACCTCTCAGGGTTACCGTGATGATAAAATGGAGAAGAGGAGAATGATGTAAGTTGCTTTGGGTCCAAGAAAGGCAGGGTATAAATGAATTAAATAAATAAAATAAAGAATTTTAACTGCAAGCTCATCTTGTAAGAAGATCAGCAATTTTGTTAAGGCTTTTAGCCTACAACCAAGTGAGGTAAAATAATGGAGAAATAATCAAAAGAAAAGTATGATTAATTTGGGGGTAAATATTTTAGAGGTGTTTTATTGACTTTTCATGTTTGGATTATACTCCCCCTTCCACGTGTTTATTCTTCCCTGTAAAACTGCAGCAACATGCCAATACCCATATTTTCTAGGAGGCATCCCACTGATTCAATGCACTTTGCGTCCATGTAAGTATTTCAGCACAGGGTTCAATGGAGATTATGGGGTTTTTCTCGACTTCCTATTATAATAGAACTCTGAACTAATAAAAATCATACAATCGTGCATATTTTTATCATGGTTTTCCTAGCAAGAATCGGTGACATACATGGGTCTTTCTTCAAACACTGACCCAGGGTCATGTCCACATCCACTTCAACAATCCTATAATATCAAGTACATCTGGACCAATCACTGAAAACAGGATAAATAAAACAGTCTACCAGACCACCATAAAATACATACACCAAAATAAGTGTGTATGGATTTTAGTGCTAGTTTCATTTTCATTAGACTCTTGTGAAGGCTGCAATTTTAGGCACACTTAGTTTAGAATACATCACGAAGAACTTGGTGAGATTTATTTCTGAATAAATGTTTTTCTGATCAAGGTTCTCAGATTGTACAACTGCAAACGCCTATCAAAGTCAACGATAAAATCTGCATCAACTTTGCGCATATGTACCACTCTCTCAGCCTAACCCACCTCTCAGGAATAGCTTTGTCCCACTGTCAGAATTGGACATGTCTACATGCAACCAAAGTTCCCTCTAAGCTGTGGAGTCTTGTGAGCAAAGATTCTACTTTGTGAGCTACTGGCATTAAAGTTGTGAGTGAGCAATTTGGCTACTGCATAGATTAGTCTGCTCTGGAGCCCTCCTTCCTGAGCTAAGACAAAAATGTGTGAGCCGGAGGCTAAAAAAACTGTGAGCTGGCTCACACTAACTCAGCTTAGAGGGAACACTGCATGCAACCTCTGTCTTTTTTAACACTTACCAAATTTAGCCGTTCAGGAAGAGCATGCTAGAATTACAGGGAATTAGCTACTACTTAATGATGGGAACTTGCTATGGAGGTGATAGGTACTCAACCACTAGGTAATACCACCCAATTTGGTTCCTACTGTGCCAGCTTTGTTGATACTGGGACTATGACATTTTTCTCTGCCTTACAAGGAGATCTGGAGACTGATCTTGATTATATCTGGCTTTTGAATCTTCAAAGGAAGAGCAGCCACTGTACTTTTATCCTTGTATCTTTTGGTACAACAGACTTAATTTTTGTCCCTAGCACGTCTCATCTAATTTGACCTGCCATCATCACACCTCCTCTTGCTCCATCTTAAAGTGGTGACAATCTGCAGAACCTGGCTCCCCCCGCTCAATACCCCCAACACACACTTTAGAAGAAACCTAAAAGAAGACTTCTCACTTCTCTGTCATGTTTTAGTTGGTTCTCATCATCCCCCCCCCCGCCTAACAAGGATACCTTCAGTTTCCATATGATCAAGACTGTACTCTATATAAGCAATGACTAGATGGGCCGGTGGGATTTCCCCCCTCCCACCTTCGTACTGAGTTGTACTTTTAAAAAAATCAGAGAAATCATTATTGTTGTTAACAATATTAAGATTCCCATACAGCCTCATAATCAGCTGCCTGCTCTGGGGGAACTTTGCAGCCGTTTCAGCTTCTGCCCCTTTGTTCCTCCTAGACCCGACAACTTCCTCGCAGCAGCTAGCCGAAGGCTTGCCGCACCGAGTTACACCCATCGGTCGCGTAAAGGCTCTCCTTTCCAGAGATGCGCGCACCAAAGCGCTTCCCACGGTCAGAATACAAGAGGCACAGCGGCATCAGGTGAAACTGTTTCATTTTGGACAAACTCGCTATGGATCTTCCATCTCGTGCTAGAAGGTATTCTTTAGGATCCTCCTACACAACAAGCACAGCCACACACCAAAGTCCCATAAAAACGTGAAGGACGTACCACAGCATAGACCAAGACGCGAGGGAACCGGCACTCGCTGCTGCTCTATGAGAACGCGAGCCAAGAATACGCGGCCTCGAGGAAGTCATTGCCAACTTAACCCTCGTGGGAGTCTCTCCATGGCTTGACTCACCCCGCCCCTTGGTTCCTCCTCCTGATAGCCCATTGGTCTCCATCACCCCCCCCCCCCGGTGATGAGCGACATCGCGGTAAGTGGAGGCTCATGAGTGTGAGCCCGATTAGGAGAAACACAAGATTCCCTGATAACAATGGAAACAATGACGGAGCTGTCGAATGTGCCCTGTAAGCCCGTGTGTCAGTCCCGCCTGAAATTCTTGGCAGTTTCTCCCCTGACCTGATCACTGGTCTAGTCTCTCCTACATCAGTCTTGGTATATTACCCGCCCTCTTCCCCTCCCTTTTTTAAAAAAACTCTGGCACCTCGGACTGAGTACCTCAGGTTATAGGTAGAATTCTTTTTATTCAAGGTGTACAGTTTAAAAGAAATGATGTACAGGAAAGTGCCCCTGGCCGGTCATGTTGGGAATGCCTGTCTTTATAAAGGGGAATTTTCCATCCTTCGGCTGGCCTGGATCTGTTCTGGACATGCTCAAATCCTGTGCTTCTCCGAACAGCTGAACAGGAGCTGCTGACGTTTTTGATGCGTGAGGTATACTCAGATTTTGCTTCCTCTCTCAAGATGCATGCTTATGCCTTACCATACCCTGTGTGGTATAACAGTTCATCAAATATACAAGAGTTGGCCGAGATGCTGCTTTTCATTTTCTGTTCCAAGTTTCAGTAATTTCAGTGCTGTGCTTCTGTGTTCCACATCCATTAATTGGGACTATCTACTGTCCCCAGACTGTTGCATCACTAATGCTGGATCTCCTTTTTTATCTCTAATTATGCATTGCAAAAATGGCTAAATCCCAAAGATTGAAATTATTTGAGAGTAAATTCATTGAAATAAATGGGGACGTCCTTCTGAGGAAAAAATGGGTAGTTTGGGCTCTCTGCATGGCAGCACAGAATGCATGTATTCCCATTTATAGCATGCAGTGCACTCAAATACAATCCATTTCCACATGAAGGTTTAGAGCACATCTCTACATTAGGTCACCAACTGCATCTTTACTAACCGAAGATTTAGCTCAGAGGGTGTTCATTCTAGTTTTGTATCCTTCACTCCGGGAAACAGAAAAAAAGAACAGAACTCTAGGGTGAAGGCACATGTCACGTTTTTAGAGTAATGGGGCTGCTTGGGATGCACTCATAGCATTTAATCTAAACATACTCAGGGCTCTAGTCGGGGGGGAGCTCTCAGGTACGGAGCTCCGGAAGAGAACCTCTAGGGGGCGGGGCGGGCACCATTTATAGCATGCAGTGCACTCAAATACAATCCATTTCCACATGAAGGTTTAGAGCACATCTCTACATTAGGTCACCAACTGCATCTTTACTAACCGAAGATATAGCTCAGAGGGTGTTCATTCTAGTTTTGTATCCTTCACTCCGGGAAACAGAAAAAAAGAACAGAACTCTAGGGTGAAGGCACATGTCAAGTTTTTAGAGGAATGAGGCTGCTTGGGAAGCACTCGTAGCATTTAATCTAAACATACTTAATAGTACTCTCTAGCACTGAGCTATGAAAGAAGAACAACTCTGAGAGGTTTAAAGCAGTCATCTGTGTGCTGTGCTGCTTTTTTTTTTGACTCCTTGTGATACTATCAAGAAACCTCTTCTTGTCATGACCCCAGCGGGTTGCCATCTTCAGCTGCCACCACTCTGGACTTTGGGTCCCTTGAGAAGGCCCAGAGTACACACCCAAGCCCATCCAAATTGCCCCCTTTTAAGCCGAGAACATAGGCGTGATGACCAGGCAGGGGAACACTTAAACAAATTGTTTATTAACACAGTACTGGGGCAAGGAAAACAACACAAGATGCTTTAAAATTTGTAAGTGTTTAAAGGCAAAATAAACAACTCTAACACGACTAGCCGACTACCTATTTCACTTAACTAGTTACTATTTCAAGGCCCACAGCCCTCTTATACCAGGCATCCTGCCTGTACTTACTCTGTCCCAAGTAAGGGATCTTTT